CAAGCAAAAACAACCTGTTTCCTGTATTCCTGAAGGCCAGGGAAAATGGTTTGACGGGCTTGTTGCAGAAGTCTGCTTCCGGTTTCAGTATCTGTCTCCCAGATCCCGATATGATAAGTAAATACTACTGCAGAACCAGCAATTACGACCCGGGTGAGCTGTCTAAATTACAGAAAAAAACATGAACAGTTATTAGTCATTCAAAAAACTTTACAACAGAACATAAGCATAAAACCGAGTAATAACTGAAGATTTACCTGGTACAATACCAACCAATTTGAAAATTAGAAACAGAGTTTAATTGCCACATCAGTATAGCAAATAATCAGATGAAAAGCTGACGAATATTTCCTTTTGCGTCTTACGTACCTTCTCCATGACACAACTGGTGGCTATATGTCTTGACACTGATATTAGTTCCATCGGATCATGGATTCAAAGCAACTACATTCAAAGCCTTGAATTCGATATATTTACTAAACACTGATATATAAACAGTGCCTGCCCAAAGTTCATGCTGTTCAGACGCTATGCAAATGAAGAAAAAAGACTGTGTATTCAACTGATTCAATTTTCTCCCTATCTTCTATCTTCATTTGATCTACATCTCATAATTCCTCCTGTTCCTTCTCCTAGTTTTCAACTGCCTTATTAATTCTCTCACTAACTTTTGTTTCAATTCTTTTTTATTCCTCCACAAGCCTTTCATCATTTACTTCGTTTAATCCTAACATCCTTGAATTTTGCCTTCACTGTTCATTTCATTTAATCCCAACTGCTTAAATGATTTATTTTCTTCTCTCTTTAATTCAATTAATCCGTATTATGCTTTTCCTAATCTTTTCCGGCCTGTTTCGCTATCATCATCATTAGTCCCTTGCATTCATGTTTCCTTGTCTGCCTGCTAAATTTCTTTCTCCCATCTTTATTCTTCAGTTACTTACTTTTTCAACCATCCACATCTTTCCTTTCATTTTTCTTCAAGAATTTTCCCTTCGTTTTTCCTCAAACTGTTCCTAAATTTTCTTATTTGTTTTTTTCTCCAAGTTTATCAGATGTATTACCAATTTGTTTTATTACAGAGTATTTCGATTTGCACAATTCGTGCATTTGTGGTCATACTGAAAAACAGCATATTACACGGTTTATTAATATACATCGCAAACAAGTAATCTAATAACTGGGCAATACCGACATTTTAGACTTCTTCAAGTTAGGAGGTTAGTAGAAGAACCTTGTGAAGCTAAACCTCTCAACCTCTGCGAACAACAGAGAAAACCTTAGAAATTCTACTAACTTTCAACCTTGAAGAAAGCTCGCGAGATACTGGATGAAACGTCGGTATTGGTCAATCATCCGATTTACAATATTACTTTCTGCTTTGTTTATTAATAAATCGTTTAAATGCTTTTTCTATTTAATCTATATCCATTCAATCAGTTCCTTCTCAATCCATCCTTAGGTCCTGAATTCCTTATCCCTTCCTTCTGTCACTGACTAAGGTCGCTCAGTCAGAAGAGCGTCAGACATAGAACAGAGAAGTTCCGGGTCTGAGTCCGGTTAAGTCACTCGTATTTCTTTCTTCTGACGTTGATAAATGAGCACCATTGTTTGAGAAAGAAGCAGAAAACAACATGTTATGTTTGCCACATAGCTACAGATTATGGAAAAAAAGCGCCAGAACAAATGAATAAACCGACTGCGAAAATGTTAGAAAGATCAACGATCATCAGCGACGATTACGCTTTCGTTTCTTAAATTTCTTTATTTTAATAAAACCTTTCCTTAATTCCCTCCCATGCTTACTTTGTAGTTTCTATCCTTCCTCCCACCGACAGTTCTCCAGATGGCTCAATTTTTCATTTCCTTCCTCAGCTAATTTCTTCCGCTATTACTTGAGCAGTCATCTTTTTCCATTCCCTCTTCAATATTTTACTTGTTTCACTCTTTGTTCCTCAATTCTTCCGTTTCGATTTCGTTTTCATCATTTTAAAATAAACTGTTCCTTCAGAGTTACGGGGACAGCAGATTCAGAAACTTTCCTCGTTCAATAATCATGATCCTCCGCTGATCAAGCCAGTTCTTTGAACTGAATCAAAAACACAAAAATATACTTAAGTCGCATGGCACCCAGTCAACTGCTAGATCGCCAATTGGCATGTGACTCCGAAGAGATTCCATCTTGCTGGGCTTTATCTGTCATTGTTGTCTTTTGATTAAGGGTATAAACGGCTGACAGCGTCTCAAACTGCCATGTATCTAACCTTCCTGCGCCTCCTAACCACAACATTCCATCAAGCGAACTTCATTTCTAGCTC